TGATGATCTAATGGAGAACAATGTAAAGTGCATGTGGTTGGCAAAAATCATCAAGGTATGTAGTTATCTCTTTTTTTACTTATTTGTTTGTGAAGTGTGCTCGATTCTTCGTGTTCACTATTTTTGATATTCGATAAAACATTCCTTATATAAATATATGAGAAGAATTGCTTTTCTACTAACTTCATCCCCTCCACTCCCCTTCTCACCCATTTAATGTCGATTTGCCGAGCTATCCCTTTTTTGTAAAGCTTTTCCCAACTCAGATGTTCAGATTGCTGGATATCGTTTATTGCTGCGTTGGGTAGGTGCAGATGAGGAAGGAGATGATAAGTTCGATTTTTGGGTCAATATTGGAAGTCGTATACTTCATCCTGTTGGGTAGTGAGTTATTACTTAGTGTGAATTATGAATTTGTCTTTTCCGGCTATGGAGATAGCTCGTTATGATGTAGCTTCCTCAGATTTTCACCACCAGAAGTAGTTCCCACAATGTTTATGTTATCCAAACAGTTTAATAGTGTTTTAGTGGTGGATCGATCCAGACAAATAAACTTACCTACACTTATATGCCACCAAAATTTATTGCTGACCGTTGGACTGCTGAAGGCGAAGAGGCGGTTGCTAAACATATTCAAGCCACTATGATCCCCTTGCAACATGTTCGCACTCTTCGCCGCCAGTTTGAACAGGATCGAAAGCGAATAATCTGCGAGCCTGTTTTCAAAGTATGCACACATTCGACGGGATTATAGCTGTTTTGATGATTTCTCAATAATTTTATTTTCTCCATTCAGGTGAATGATAGAGTGGAATTGCTAGATTACAATAACTCTACTCGTGTGCGTCCAGCTCGTGTTAAGAAAGTGGTTGGGCGGCGAATTTGCGTTCATGTGAGAGACGACGATTTTGACGGTGAAGTGGAGGACGACGATCGCCAGGTCATGCTAAATCGTTTATTAAATTTCATTCTGTCCAATTCTTTTGAACATTTTCTGATTAACTGCATTTTAGTTTGGTGATGATGCCGAATTTTGGGTAGACCAGTCTAGTTTCTATCTCTTCCATGTTGGCTGGGCATGTTACAATAATTACGGTCTTGGCTCAACGAAGGAGTACAGGAGACATGCCCAACAGATCGCTGACGCGCTGACCAAGGTCATATTCCAAATACATCAACTAAACTTCTTATATGAATATATAATCATAAAATAATGTTCAGGGAGAAGACCCACCGTATGCTTCTGGCGATGTAACCCCGCAGAAGATCCGTTCCTGGACTGCCAACAAAGTAACCGTTTAGTCTTCACTTTTCAGAATGACTTTAGGCAATATTTTCAAGGATACTCCATTTGAGTGGAAGAAGGGAATGCGATTCGAACTTATGGATCCTTTAGCCCAGATGTTCAATGAGCTGCGAGTTGCTAGTGTTCTGGAGGTGTTAAAGGTACAGTAAATTTATCGCCTTTTCATAGAAATTGTGAGTTTCTTGGGTCACTTGCACACCACAAACAGTTTCAATACTTTACTAGTAAATTCTTCCAGGGTGGATACCTTCGCGTTGGGATGGATGGACCTGATGTTGAGACAGAATGCATCCCACTTCATTGCACCAGCACTTTCATGTTCCCTGTTGGGTATGCGCAAAAGTATGACATTAAATTGGGAGGCCCCAATGGTAGGAAATATGGAAAATGATGGAGAAGAAACATTTTGAAATGAACCTTATTTTAGATACAGAGGAGTTTCATTGGGATGATTATTTGCAGCAGGCTGGAGCAATAGCCGCGCCTGAATCACTTTTCCGCCCAGTTCCGGATAAAAGTTTCATGGATTATTTCCAGGTGGGAATAATGTCCATTTTGCAATGTTTCACAAAAGGTCAAGTTGCAGATTGGCGCTAAATTGGAAGCATCTGATATGTGTGAGAATCATCTAATCTGCCCAGCTACGGTTGCAGCGCACAAAGGGCGCTTGCTTCAGATTCATTTCGACGGGTGGGAGGATTCGTATGATCAACTGTTTGACGTTTTGTGGGTTTACTATTCTTTTTCTCCTGAAAATTGTTGGAAATCAACCACTTTCATAACGCTTGAAAACTCTGTTGGCCAAACTAAAAAGTGTTGGTTACAGTTCAAGTGATATTTTCCCATTGGGTTGGTGCGAAATGCATGGTTACAAGCTCGAACCACCAAAGGCGGAAGAGGAACAACCTGCGAAGAAAAAGAAAAAGAAGTGAATTTGTGCACGTTTTAAATGTTGTTTCATGTTTTTTTTT